GGTGGCACAGTTCCAGGCAGGGAACTGGGAGGCTGTTCCAGGTAGGGGGAACAGCATGTGCAATGACTAGGGGGTGAACGAGGCACATTTTGGAACTAACTGCGAAGAGGCATGGGTAGCACAGGCATCAACAGGCCCTTCCAGAGCTCTGGCCCTGACCTAGTGCTATTGAGGACAAAAGATCCAGGCCCTGCCAAGGCTCTCAGTCTGCCCTTCACATCCCAGACCGTAGGGGAGATCCTTGCACTATTCCTCTAATTGCTGTGAATGGTGGTGACAGGTGGAAGCCAGAAGGTTAGCATGCTGACCTTCTGGAAAATAGAAAGTGGACAGGCTGTTGGGGAACAGAGATGCTCTGGCAGAGGAAGCCAGCGTAGGACTGCATAATGGCCGGAGCAGAGAACCAACCATGACACTGTCTTGCTCCACCAGCTTCACAGACCCCTGGGCTGGTTTCACAACTCCTCAGGAAGTCTCCCAGCCCTGTGATCTCCCTCTTGCTGATCATGCCCTGCCAGAGCATCTGGAGGTACCTTGGGCCTGGCTGACCATGCCTGACTATGTGCCACATGGCTGGTTGACCCTGCCTCTCTGAAGTTTCACTTGAGGATCACTGGGAAAGGTCACTGGGCTTGGAATGTCATAGGACTCTAGTCCGGCATCCACCACACTTACTCTGAGACCTCGGGTGAGCCTATTACCCTCTAATGCCCTCAGTTTCTTGCTATGCACAATATCTATGGGTTCTTCTGGCTCTCAGAGCCTATCAGGAAGGTTTTTGTTTCATTGCAGAGACCCTTATGAAAAGATACCTCCCTCTCTCTCTTATTTCCTTTCCCAGTGTTCATTAATTCATTTCATTCATTTAATGAACACTGCCTGGGTGCATATCTTGTGCTGGGTAGTGATGAAGAGACAGCGTCCTTTTCCAGGCACTCACCGACTTGAGAATGGGAATCCTGTAATCTGGGCACTAAGTATGATGGAGAGGGAACCGTTCACACAAGAGGCTGTGAGGGCACACAGGAGGCCTCTAAGCCAGCCTAGGATCGAGCAGACTTCCTGGCGGGAGCACTGCTAGCTGCAGGGTGGGATAAGAGTTATCAAGGTGAGGATGGGAGTGGGTGGCACAGTTCCAGGCAGGGAACTGGGAGGCTGTTCCAGGTAGGGGGAACAGCATGTGCAATGACTAGGGGGTGAACGAGGCACATTTTGGAAGCTAACTGCGAAGAGGCATGGGTAGCACAGGCATGAACAGGCCCTTCCAGAGCTCTGGCCCTGACCTAGTGCTATTGAGGACAAAAGATCCAGGCCCTGCCAAGGCTCTCAGTCTGCCCTTCAGCCTGTGATCCTAAGCAAATGGCTTCCCTGCCACCAGTCTCAGTTTTCTTGTGTGTCAAATGGGCCTAGAGTTCTTTGACCTACTCCTTGGGGCAACTGTAAAGCCCTAACGAGGCAGAAGAAGTGGGTGTCCCTTGGAAAAGCCCAGAGTGCAGTACTGAGTGATGGGCTGGAGACAGCCTCTGGCAGGACTGGGGTCATCCCCACTCTTGCCTTTCCCTACAGAACCACAAGGCTGGAGAGGGACGGGGAGAGGCAGCCTCCGGCACACAGGATGGAGGAACTCTGCCAGCAGCTCTTGGACTCTACTCCTGGCAGCAAAGGCAATTCCTTTTCTGCCTCCAGGGAGACCTGTTCGAAGACAAGGCCTCCCGGCCCAACAGTGGTCCTTGCATCTGCCCAGAGGATTTCAAGGGTCACCAGGGAAAACAGCCCTGCCTTGGGCTGTACTGGAGCAGCAGCAAATATTTACTGAGTGCTGTGTGGCTGCTCCAAAAGGAGCATTTCTGGGGCTGAGTAGAGGAGACACTTAGAGGGCCCGGGCCCCAGCCCGGCCGACAGTGCAGGCCTCACAGGACGCCCGCTGGATCTTGAGCACTGCGTGGCAATGGTTCACATGTCTGGCCAGCGCTCCTGTCCATCCCCTCAACCTCAACCATTCCAGACCTTTATTGTTCTCTGTAAGACCCAAAACAGAAGACTTTAGATGCTTTGAGAAAATGAAACCAGTTAGGAATAATCCTTCCAATTCCCATTCTCTCCTTCTCTAAGCCACTCACCTTCCTTTCCCTCTGCCAGGGCAGGGAGAATGGTCACCTCCATCTAGGTGGCTACTCCTTGCACAACTCCAGGAGGCGCCATTCCCATGTGACCTGTGCCCTAGAACTGTGTAATGCAGTTCCTGCACTCCCCAGCCCATGTTTCTACCACCCTGCCCTCTCTGGGCTTGGTTTCACAGCACCCCATAGCTGGGTTGGCAACACTTGCAACTGCCCCGGTGCTCATGACTCCATTCCATCCTGGTTCTCTCCGTACTTCTCTCACTGCCCCCCATCTGTCTTCTTGGAGGGCTCCTCTTTCGCCTGCCTAGTCACTGTGGGAGCCCTGGGAACCATGCCCTTGGCCCTCTTCTCACCCACAGACAGATCATCCACCCTGATGGTTTCAGTAACCACACAATGCTGACCACTCTAGAACTGCCACCTTCGCCCAGATGCATTTGTCCAGTGACCTACTGGACATCTCCACCTAAACATCCTCAGAACCTGTAGAATCCAACTCATCCTTCTCTGCAAGAATGTCTTGTGTCTCAACCAGGCTCTGCTATTCAACCTAAATAGGTCCCATCTTGATTCTTCTCTCTCCTCACCTTCATACGATCACTTCCCAGAGGCCCCCTGATGTGACCTCCTAAAGGTGCTTGACTCTGGCCTAGGTCACCATCACCTTCTGCCTGAATCACTGTAGAAATTGCTCTCCTTGTTCTCTCTAGTTCACACCCCAGAGCTGACTTTGTCAGAACGTGCTTCCATCCAGCCACCTGAGGGGGATCTAAGAGCTTTTTGAGGACAGGGGTCACGCCTGATTCATCTTTATCTCTACAGGTAAACTCAAGTCTGGCATGTGGCAGTGGCTTTGTGAATGTGTGTTGAATGAATGAGTGAGAAAACCTGTTACTCCATATCCTTTCCATGATCTCATCCTATCCCCAGGAGACCTGAGCTCATGGATCTCCTCTTTTTGTAACTCAGCCCTGCCCCTTGGTGGTACTCCTCCAGATTCTACCAACCCCAGGAATTTGGCCCTTGGACCAGCCCCTGAGTCAGGGCCCAGTGCATGCTGTCCCCAGGAGCTGGCAGACAGGAACTATGCTTGCCTCCAAGGTCAGAAATCCTGAAATAGGTGCCACACCTATCCTGGAACCTGCAGGGAAAGTCATGGAAAGTCTCCAAAGGGGCCCCACAATGTTGGGGCTCAGCCTGCAAGGCTTGCCCAGGCTCCCCAGGTCTCCTGGCCACGGCTCAGCAGCCCCTTCCAGCACTGACAGCTGTTCTTTGGCCAGCTCTCTGCAGGAAGATACGTTCCGTTTCATCTGCTGAGGCCTCGTGGATGAGAAGAGGAGGAAACAGAGGGAGGACTATGGGGTGGGGGGGTTGGGGCACACAGAGCCATGCAGACAAAGAGAGGGAGAGAGGAGACAGAGAGAGAGAGAGAGGTAGGGAGAAGAGCAGAGAGACACTCACAGAAAGGGGCATGGAGGAGGAAGAGAGCTTCAGGACCAGATGGGGAGCAGAAAGACAATGTGGAGAGAAGGAGAAAGGGGCCCAGAGACAGGCAGTAAGAGACACAGAGACAACAGTAGGGAGAGAGGGAAGAAGAGACACCAAGAAAAAGTGACAGAAAGAGACAAGGACAGGACAAAGAGATACAAAGACACAGAGACAGAGAGGTAAGGAGAGAAGGGAAAAAGAGGGGAGAGGGAACCCAGAAATGAAAACAAAAGCATGGAGGAGACCAATTCACTGAGGACATCAGGGAAGGCTTCCTAGAGAAGGGGCTCTTGTATTCAGTCATATATAGAGGACTCCCCCAGGATGAGTGGGATTCAGATGCAGATGTAAGAGAAGACAGGCAAAGTAAGGAGAATCAAGGGCCTGAAGATGGATTGCATCTTAACATTTGTGGGGCTGGGATGGTGCCTGTCTACCTTGAGAGAAGCCAGGGTCTCACATAAACGACACTTATATACAAACAGGAAGAGGTGCCCGGTGCAGCCCCCATGATGTTTTAGTGCAAAGAAAAAGACTCCCTTTCTCCTAAGTGCAATCTGGCCTGTGCCAGGGCACAAGGTTCAGTGAGCAGAGCACAGGCCAGGGCCAGATCTACCCCGCCTCCCATCAGCCTGGCACAGCCTGACAGCCCCTGTTGATCCTCTGATGTGGGAATGCAGCGTAGAGCGAGTCCTGTCGTGGTGTTAGGACTGTTAGAACACCTCACTCATCAATCAACCATGTCACCTTGGGGAGTTTCCATTCTCCCTTTGTGCCTCAGTTTCCCCAAATGGTGTTGGGCCCCATGGTCTCATGGGTCCTCCCACCTCTACGATTCCTTCTTTTGATGACTTGAACACACAATCATACTTAGTGAGCCTCCCGAGTACAGAATGCTTCTCAAACGTCATTTCATTTCATCCTCGCAGTAGCCGTTTGAGGTGTTGCCAGTTTCCAGATGAGGAAACTGAGGCTCAGTGAGGGGACGGGACTCACCCAAGGTCACATACCTGGTAAAAGGCAAAGCTTGAACTTCAATCCAAAGATGTCCCAGTTTACTGCACGTCCTACTACACCCACTCTGAAGTATTGGCAGCTGCGGAGGATCCTGAGTTCACATTTGGGGGCAGGAAATTGTCAGAAACATGTGTCCCTTCCAGCATTCACCAGATTGGAGAGGAGAGTGTGCAAGTGCTCAGCAAGAACAACACGCAATTAACAGGGCAGTTTCAGGACTGTGTTGAGGGGCTGGGCAGAGGGAGGAGGGGAGAACCAGATGTTCCCACAAAGGCTCCAAAGTAGCACGGGCTCCCCCCGGCCAGCACACATGTTTTCTCTCCAGTGAGTATGCTGGGTTTCCAGTTTTCTCCTCCTGGAAGAGGCATCCCAAGACCATATTTATGTTCCGTCTGAAATTAATGCAAGGGAAACTTTCAAATGCTAATCTAGCTGCCAGGACAGGCCGGCCGGATATCAAGCTATAGTGGTGTTTGTTTTCCTGAGGAAGTGTGACAGGAGGGCTGGATGGGAGGGCCAGTGGAGGATGGACAACCGGTCTCCCAAAGAGTGTCTGATGGGACACTGACAGAGCTGAGCTTCCTTTCTCCTGCTTTGCAGGCCGCCCAGGGAAGGGCTGGGGCCCTTTCAGTTCAGTGGGGCCTGAGATGATGCCACCTCTGTACCCAACCTTGTGCCAGGAGCTGACACACACAGTCCCCTCCCCTGAGGAGGTCACGGTATGAAGAGGGAGATGGGCAGGCAAACACTCACAGGACAGCATGAGCCATGCAGTGCCAGGGGCCACGGGATTGAAGTGGAAGGAGGGGACCCAGACTGAGGAGGTGAGTGAGGAGTGAGAGGAAGAGAGGAGGAAGGGCGTTCCTGGTAGACAGCACAGTAGGAGCACACACACCGAGGGCAGAGGTGGTGTGGCACATGCTGGCCAGCAGCAGTTCTGGGTTGCTGTAATATTAAGTGAAAGAGGAGGTGGCAATAGCAAGGGTGGGAGCAGGGGGGCGTCCCTCCTCCATGACATTCTGATTGCTGCAGGACATGGTGAAGGGGACAGATTCAAGCTGGGACCAAAAAACACTCTCCGAGGCAAGTGTCCAGTTGTAAGGGAGTGAGTGCTCCACCCTTGGAGGTGTGTAAGCCAAGGGTCGAAGAGCACTTGTCAGGCCTGTGAGGGGTATTCAGACATCCTATGGGGAACTGGCTGTATCTGGGTGGAACCAGAGATTCTGCCCGCTTTAGCAGCCTCTACCAGCTGCTCCTCTTTGGAAGCTGTTAGAATGCAGGACGTCAGAAAGGAAAGTGCCCCAGGGCTTCAGCTGGATAGCTCAGCTCCGCCATGAACACCGCAAAGATGGATACAAATTCCTGGAAGAGCAACCCTGCTGAGGCTAACAGAACTTGCCCTGTGTCACACTGGCAGAAAGGGGCAGAGCTGGGCTCAAGCCCAGGCATGGCACGGGGTGTGTCCATGTCAAGGCCCAGACCCAGGCAATGGCCGTGCAGGGTGATTCCAGGTCAGCACAGGACAGAGCCTGTGATGGGTTCTGTGAACTGCAGGAGGCAGTGCTCAGCCAGGGATCTCCATGGCCACGGCAGTCACTCTTTACAACATCCAGAGGCTCCTTTTTTAGAATCACAACACCCCAGGATTCCTGGGAGCTCCCTGTTGGCAGGGACAGGGACCCACGCCTCCTGAGCCTCAACGCTACTTGGAGCTGAATTTGGCTCTTGGGGTTTTCCCACAGCGTCCCAGTTGCATCCGAGCACTTCTGCCCCTCAACCCCAGTGGCTCTACTCTCTCCTGTGTGGGAGTCCTGCTCTTAAAGGACTTCGAGCTCTGAGGGACCAGGGACCCTGAAATGATGGTGGCAACACAAGAGCTCCCATTTACGGACTGACTGTGCAAGGCCAGGCCCTGAGCTGTGGTGCAAGGCCAGGCCCTGAGTGCTAGTGATCTGGATCTCAGGCTCATCTGCAGAGTGGGAGGCTGCAGGCTGAGAGAAGTGAAGTCACTGATCTGCCCAAGGCCACTTCTGATCAGAAGAACGCAGGGTTTCTAACTCACACAGTCCGGGTCCAAGCCCATGTTCTTAATCTACACTTTCTTCTCCTCTTGCCTTTCCCACACTGTCCAGGAAGAGTGTTGAGCTCCTTGCCAGATTCGTACTTCACTGATGGAGCAGCAGGGAAGCCCTAGCAGAAGAATTCCGGCCTGGGGTGTGGGCACTCTATTCTTCTAGACTCTCCCCTGTTCCAGAGGGTGAGGGCTGGCTCCAGCTAGGGACGAGCCGGGAGGGGATGTTCCTCTGGCTGGCTGGATGTTTTGGCCTGAAGCAGTAACGGCGACTCTGGCCAAGGATCGCAGCCCTTCACAGGCATGCCAGCTGCCAGATGCATGCGTGGTGGGGCGGCAGGGCCCTTTGAAGCACCATTGGAAATTCTGAAACACTTCAGATGCCGTGGCCTTAAGCTCCAGCTTGGGGAGTGTGGCAGACCAGGGCGCTTGCCAGTGAGAGAGGATAGCAGCTGTTATTTTTATTTGTTCATTTGTTTTGTTTTTTTAGAGATAGGGGTCTCACTCTGTCACCCAGGCTGGAGTGCAGTGGTGCCATCTTGGCCTACTGCAGCCTTGACATCTGGGCTCAAGCAACTCTCTCACCTTAGCCTCTTGAGTATCTGGGACTATAGGCATGCATCACCACGACTATGACTGGATAATTTTTTATTTTTGTGGAAATGGGGTCTTGGGATGTTGCCCAGGCTGATCTTGAACTCCAGGCTTCAAGCGATTCTCCTGCCTCAGCCTCCCAAAGTGCTGGGACTACAAATGTGAGCCACCGTGACTGTCCTGTCTCTTGTTTCTAAGGTGAAAAAGGCCCTATGTGAACCATGGCTGCTCTTCTGTGCCCAGCTATGAGCTCTGAAGGGCTGCCATTTCTGAGGCCACCAAGTGAAGAACCACAATGGAGAAGGAGGTGGGTGTGGGTCCTGCCCTGAGAACTATGGAGATGACGAGTAAACTGGAAGACAGCTGGATCTGTATCAGGGAAATTTCAACTGTTTTTCACCTCCTCCAGGAAGCCTTCTCTAACTTACCCTGCCTCCTTTCAGTGCCAGGCACTCAAACTTCTGTTAGGCATGTGTGGAAATGCTGAATGTTGGGGGCTACAGGGGATCTTAGACCTAGCTCTGTCTAAAGCCCCTCACTGTGCAGACACAGGAGGAAAGACTTGGAGAAGGCCACATAGAAGATCTCAGACTCTCCTTTCTACCCTCATGTCTTTGGTGTAACTCTCACCTTGCTCTATTTTCTTTCTTTTCTGGCTTTTCCCTACCTAATCATCTTGCCGTCTCCCCTCCCTACAGATGCTCCTGCTTAGCACTAAACTCCCCCTCCTCTAGCTGTGATTGCATGGTTTACTCAACAGTACCTGGGACTCTCTTTCCTTAGGTGTTTTCATTTGTCAATCTAGCCTCAACTTCCAAAGGCAGATGTGATGTTGCTGGACCCCTTAGTCTCCCACCATGGGGGCAGAAGATGTGAGTTTTAGGCTGGGTTTTGCTGTGGGGTAATGTAGAAGCAGGCTGCATTTCTGCTCATGGACCTCAGGGTTAGTGCGTTCATTCATTCATTCATTTATTCAACAAGTGGGTAATACGCACCTTCTTAGTGCTCAGGGAGTGGACATCTTAGACTGGGAGCATGAGAGAGGCTGTGATAGCAAAATGCTGGAGGCCTATGGGAGCCCAGAGAGGAAGTCAGGGAAGCCCTAGCAGAAGAATTCCCAGCAGAACAGAGGGCCCAAGCGGCAGCTGGATGGATTTTTTAGGGACCAGGATTACTTCCTGGTCATTGGGAAGAATGACCTAGACAATGTGACTACCATTTCACTCCAGTTCTAAGACTCTCTGACTTCCCATCTGTACTTGGATTTACTGATCAGCTAAATGGAATAATAAATACCACTTCTGTCTCCCTCCAGGAGGAATTGAGGATGTGGAAGGGCCACATAAGTTGATGGATATGGGAGTTTTTCAAGCAGGATGGTGTCTACTCTCTAGGGAGCAATTTCTATCGTTATGAATTTTAAAAGGTGTTAATGGTATTCTGTATGTTGGTCTTGTATCTCTCTCTTCTCTCAAGCCTGAGTCTTTATCTCTGATCTGCTTCTATGTCCCAGCTTCACAGGTGTGTTTTGGATTATGGATCTGCAGCATTCTAGCTGGGGTAGAAACAGGCTGGCATGAGCCTGGGGGCTGCATGCGCCAAGTGTGTGGGTGCTGGGTAACGGAGCCAGTCTCTCTGTCTCTGGTGCTCACACTGTTTGCCTTTTAACTCTTCAAGTTCTGCCTTCTGCCTGGACTTCTGCTCCCTGTGGAGTGGGTGACAACAGTCCTGCATAGAGTGATTTCCATTCCTGGAAGGCTCTTAGCTGCATACTCCTCCCAAGGAATCCAAGAGTGGTTGGAGCAAATAATGCTAGCATGTTAGAAGGCTCTGATTATAGCATGCTGGAATGTTAGAGCTGTGCAACTTTAGAGCAACAGCATATTAGGGTCAAGGGGTTTGGAATGTCAGAAGTTAGAATTATACTCAGATTATAGCATGTGCTAGGGACGGAGAGTGTGTGATAACCACTGGTTCCTAGAGGTTACCTGGTCCAACCCTGAGTCCTGCTCATGTCTCCAACCCAGCTCCTCTAATTCCTACATTACTCATTCTAGTCCAGGAAAAAAGAATGCTAGATTTCTGGATGGCTGAACAAGTAAATATCCTGAGAAACCTGTTTCCCTGGAACCAAGGGTAAAATTGTAATTTTCTTCTAGTGCGTAAGACTGGACCTCCACCCCCGCAACTGGGCCTGGAGATACCTTGACTCAATGGAATGAACTTCATTCTGTGTGATTTGGTCCAGTATGTCCTCAGAGAACATCTCCTAAGTGTCAGCAATTCTGAGGCATATGCGCCCTGTCCTGGAGTAGTTCACATGCAATGGCATGATCGCTGAGCAGTGGGTGCTAGGATAAAATCAGCACATAGGCCTGGGTGAGAGCATCCACCTTTACACCCCAGCTGCTTGGTGCTGCTGGAGAAAATCTCACACCTGTGACTTGGCAGGTTCACGGGCCCTCATTGCCAGTCAGCATCCTCTGTGTTCCTAGCATTGACAGAGCAGATTTGTGGCTGGCATGTGCCCTAATCTCAGTCCCCAGTAGACATCACAAATCATTCTGGGCCTCTTCTCTGTTGAGCTCTGATGTGACTTTATCATCTTATACCATCACGTTCCAGGCAGCTGCTACCAATCAATCATAATGGCCCACAGGAGGAAACATCTTTAACTTCTTGTCCTGGTCAATTCTTCTGGCCAGTTTCTCTTATGTCAAAGAGTCTCACCTCTTCAAACCAAGAATCCTCCCTTCTCTCTCCTCTTCCTCTGTGGATGACTTCACCTTCTACTTCAGACAGTGGTGCTCTGATTAGAAGCCATTAGCTGAGAATTTTCTCCCTTTTCGCCTGCCAGCCTCCTCCCTCCTTCCCTTCAGTTACAGGTGAAGAGGTGTCTTCCTTCACCCAAGGCGTCCTCCTCAACCCTGCACCCAAGCTCTGGTCCCCACCTTGCTGCCTTCTTGGAACCTCGGGCTTATCATTGTTCCCCCTCTCTCCTGTATCATCAGCCTCACCCATCCTAGAATATTCTCTTAATCACATTTCAAGCATGCTCACTTCTTTCTCACTTCAAAAAAAAAAAAAAAAAAAAAGGTGGGTGAGTGGGGAGAACAATGTAATTACCAGCTTTTCACTTTGCCAAGTAAGGACTTTGAGACTCTTATCTGCCTCCCACTATCATCTTTTTAATTTTCTTAAGTAAGGAATATTTTAACTTCAAACACAGTTGAAAGGAGGTAATGTCAGAATATAAACCTGTAAACGGAATAAATTTAGCTAATAAAGAATTCACCACCTTGTACTTATTTTTCTGTTAATTGTAGGCCAGAGGATCTACAAGCAAGTGGACTAGAAAATATTGGGGGGCTCTTGAGGCTCAGCCTGTCCAGCTGCAGGAGCCCAGCAGACAGAAAATGAGCTTTCTCTCCTCTCTGGCTGACACGCCCCTCCATGGCCACAGCCTGGCTCCTTCCAGAACATCTGGGCTTGTACACTGGCCACAGCCACCTCCTGGATAGGGAGGGCTTACCTGGGCCCTTCAGCATCACCCAGGCCTGCTTAAGGTTGTCACACGTTTGCACTCCACCCACCCCGAACTGCAGAGTAACCTCCAGAAGAGGTCACACAGTGCCAGGTTGCAGAAACATCACAGATGCTGAGTATTTCATGAGATGCACCAGCTAAACAGGCACGTGTTTCCACAAAATCATCAACACTTTTCTACGTATACAGCAAGGGCACCACGTGCAAGGAAGATGGCCACACCTGGGACTCAAGAGGCCAGGGTTCACATGGCAGGTCTGCCTCCATGGCCTTGAGGAAACTGTTCATCTTCCGTGAGCCTTTGTTTTCATCTGCAAAATGAGTATCATAAAACACATAGTGTTATGTAATCAGAGAGCCTGGAATGGTGGCTGGCACATAGTCAGGGCTTTTATGATAAGAACCCTTCTACCATGGAAGAGCGTTTTAATACTGTGTTCTAGAATGAGTGTATGTAGCACAATCCCATGAGGCAGGTGTATTGTCCCAGTTTTACAGATGAGGGACTGAGGCCCTTGGAGGTGAAATGGCTTTCCTAGCATCTCTTCACTCACAGTGGCAGAGCCACACTTTACACCCAGGCCTCCTGATCCCAAAGCTCTTACCCTTTGCACTGAAGCCCCCTCAGAGCAGAAGAGAGGAGAAGCCAGATTGCTGTCAGCACTGGAAATCCCTGTCTGTCCTCGCAGGCTCTCAGGGCAGGATTCTGGAGCTGGGCTGGGCCAGGGTTGGGTCCTAACAAGCAGTGGAGGGGCCAGGCAGGCGGAGGCTCAATCTCTCACCTTCACATGCTTGGCCCCATCCAGACTCTAGAACCACAGAGCTTTCAGGAACTTCAGCTGGACACTGAGGCTGGGACTGTGGTGGAATGACAGAAGAGCCGCCAGCAGGGCCCTGGCTCGGACACCTGGCAAGGCTGAGTTGGGGGGTCAGTGGTGTGTCTTATAATTATGTTTCTATTTCCTGAGATATTTCTTAGAGACACCCATGCACTCTAGGCTTGAGAGACATTTGCATGAGCAGACACATGCCTGGGGGATGGACAGGTGCATTCCTGGTAGTATAGACCCTTCCTACATCCCATACATAGCCTTGGGGGTCTTATGAGTTCTTTGGGACTTGGCAGGTGATGGGCTGCAAGAGCCCAACTGGGTCCCAGGGTCCCCACTGCCCAGCAGCCCTGGGACAGAACTGCAGGGGCCCCCAGGTGAGTGGGTGAGGAGTGGAGCGGGTATGTCTTCAGGTCGCACTCCACCAAGAGAGTGCTTAGTCCCAGCTCTGCACATAAGCCAGCCTGTCACCGGATGTAGGACTCAGAAATTACATGATCATAAGAATGTAACGAGGCCGGAGTGGACTTCCCTCACCACAGCTTTCGTGCGGACGTGTTCCATGCCAATACGCTGACTCTGTAACAGGCCCGCGGGGCTGGCTCAATGTCCCACACACAGAAACAGAGCCCTTGGATCATAGATCCTGGGCCTGGGGTACAGTTCCAGCCTTGTCCTGGACTTTCTGGGGGCTTTGCTCATGTCCCTGTCCTCTGTGGACCTCGGTTTTCCCACAGCTAGGATGGGGTGGGCAGCTCAAGCTCAGAGGCTCTGTCCAGCTTGGAGATTCTCGGGTGGAAAGGAGATTTGCTGTGCAGAGTGGGCCATTTGCTCCCGGCATGGCTGAGCCAGGAGAAGTGGCAACTGCCAGCAGGATCTGCACGTGGCTTCAGATCTGTTGTTTTTGGAGAGTGGATTCATAAGAGTGGAGGCGAGTCTCCCTTTGCCCTGATTTTACTGCTGGCCTATCCTTACAAATTCACCAGCCCAGAGGAGACCAGGATGGGAGACCCTGGTCAACGTTCATTTCTTCACTCTTTCATTCTTTCATTCACACAGCAAGCTCAAAACCTATTACACGCTACCAGAGACACAGCGATGATTAAGTGGTGCCCCACATCTGAGGCGAGCATGGGAGACAAAGCCAGCACCACTCACTGACCGCAGTGTGGGGAGCAGTACAGAGGCAGGAAGGAGGGGAGGAGGCTGGGACTGGGATACTGCCAGTGGGCACGGACAGAGTGGATGTGTGTGAGGTCTTTCTGGTGGCCTGTCAACAGGATTGACTGGGGACTGACTACATTTTGGAGATGGGAGAAGCTGGCACTGGGCATGATGCCTGTGTGCTGGCCTGGTGCTGGGGTGGACCTCTGTGCCCCCACAGACCTAGGGTTTCAGGAAAAAGAGGTTAGTGTCCACGGCTGCCCTCACTGCTGTGATTTTCACTGTTAGACTTTCCTGCTTTCTCGCTCACAGAAAGAGCTGGCGGTAGCTACCCTCAGCCCCGGGAGACTCTGCTCCTGGGTCCTGGGCAGGCAGGACTACTCAGGTGGGGTGTGTGGAATGAGGGCCCCTCACTGACTGCACTCTCTGGGGGCTCCCCCTAGGCGTGGGGAGGAGCCTGGGGGCTGGATGACTCAGGGTGGTTCCCCACTTGGAGTCTACTGGGGGCTGTCCCAGAGCAGGATGCCCTGCCCTGATGTCTATAGGAGGGAGGGCGGACGAGGCAGTTGGATGGTGGGGGAGCCGGAGGGGGCTCTTCCCTGCACAGTCCTCAAAGCTGTCCTGACTCACACCGAGCTCCCAACAGGTGCCCTGCAGCTGGAGAGTGGCTTACCCTCTCCATGCTGCCAGTCAAGGTCTTGCTCCTGCCTCTAGACCCCCTACAGGAATCCCTCCCTTCTCTAAAACCCATGGCTGAATAGCTCTGGAATCCTAGATGGCCCAAGTGAGTCCTGGCTCCTCCTGTTCAGATGAGTAAACCGAGGCTACAAGAGGGAAAGAGACTTGCTGGAGGCCACAACAGGCCATGGCAGAGATCCCGCGTGAACCCAGGACTCTTTCTGCCTAGCTGCTGTGCCTTAAAGGGGCTTTCCCAGGAGGACTGTATCTACTTCTGAGCCCCTCCCCTGTGTCTCTACTACATGAGGGCTGCACAGGAGGGACGAGGCCTAGCAGATGTGCCCCTGGCTCTTGCCCTTAGGGGTGAATGTTCAAACAGTGGACATATCCCATTACAAAACCAGGACATCCACAAGGGCCCTTGTAGGTTAGACTGCTCGCCATGGAGGGTGGCATGAGGGTGGCAGGAGGGGAAGGGAACACAGCGGCACCAGGTGTGGTAAGCACGTCCAGGAGCCATCATCTCATTAATTCTCACAATGCAGGAAGTGAGTTCTGGCAACCCAAATTGTGGGTAACATGAGCAAGAAATAAATGTCTGTTGCTGTAAGTTACTGAGCAAAAGCTGGTTAGTAACAGGAGGCAAACACAGTATCCTGGTCCCAATGTAAACAAGTGTTACTGGCAGGGACAGCCATATAGAAGGGAACGAAGATTGTGGGAGGAGAGGAAAAATGAAAGGAAAAGGAACAGGGAGAGAAGTGCTAAGTGAGCCCTGCACCTGAACATCTGGACTCCCCTTTGCACGAGGAGGCCTGGTCCCCCAGAAGAAAGCATCAAGTTCATGGTTCCACATGTGACAATCACACTTATACCCAGTATCATCATCATGATGATGATCATTGCAGCTGCCTTTTTGAGTTCCTACTATGTGGCAGGTTGTTTTTAAAATATCATCACTAATCTTTACAACTATTCTACAAAGTAGATATTTTCAGTTCATCAAATAGTTATTGCTATCACTGCCCATTTATATACGAAAGAACTGAGTCTTTGAGAAGGTACCAGCCAAGGTGATGCGGTTGGGCTGAGATCTGGAGCCAGGACTGTGGGACGCCAGAGCCAGCCTCTCCCTCTGGGGCCACATGGGCTTCACAGCCTTGCCCCTGGCTCTGTGGGTGGGCCTGAGGCTGGGCTGCGCAGTGGGAGCTGGCTTTAGTTCTGGGCTCTCACATGGCTGCCTGGGGCATGAAGGCACCACAGAAATTACCTTGGCCATGGCAGGGGTCATCACTCCCCTTTCCCATGGGGACCATTATGGAAGAACCCTTGACCCGACTCAGGAGAACTGCTTTGGGTCCCAGTGCTGCTGCTAAGCACTGTGTGGCTTTTCCTGCCCCATCCTGGGCCTCGACTTCTCCCTCAATGAAGTAAAGGTTAGGGGAGAGCCAAGCAAATCTCCTAGGATTCTGCAAACAATCCCTTCCCCACACTGGCCCAAACCTGCTCCGAAGGCAAAGAAGCAGATCTTGTCCTCGTTCTCCCGTAGAAGCGCCATGACCCTCTTCCCCATGCGCTCATTCCTCTTGTAGATGAGCTCCTGGCGGAAGTAGCTGTCAATCTCCTGGGCCGTCACCTGCTCGTGTGGCGGGAGGGTGGTGTTGATAAAGTTGGGCAGCTGCAAAGGCAAGACAGAGGCTGCCTTCAGTTTTTTTTTTTTTTTTTTTTGGATAAAGGGTCTTACTGTCACCCAGGTTGGAGTACAGTGGCTCACTGCAGCCTCAACTCTCTGGCTCAAGCCATCCTCCTGCCTCAGCCTCCCAAATACAAATGCACCACCATGACCAGCTAATTTTTAAATATTTTGTAGAGATGGAATCCCACTATGTTGCCCCGGCCGATCTCAAACTCCTCTTGGCTCGAGCAATCCTCCCGCCTTGACCTCGCAAAGTGCTGGGATTATAGGCATGAGCCACTGTGCATGACCTGCTGTCAGTTCTTTATGGAGCAAGGTGGACTTAGGATAAATATGCACAGCCCCAGTGGGGCTAGGCAACTTGCTTTTATGCGGACCCTACAGTGGGCCACATGTTTTGTACATGTTTCTCATCAATTCCCAAATCCTCTCAGATAAGCATTGTTATTCCAGTTTTACAGATGAAGCAAGCAAGTGTGGAAAGGATCCAGGGATGTGCAGAGTTGCACAACTAGTGAATTGGCAGCGCCAGGATAAGGCCCAGCTGCTGGGCTTCCACATGTGTTGCTCTGCGTCGTGTCTCTGCCCTGTTTAACCTCAGCAGATGCTGAGGTCTGGGGAGGCTGGCACGGTGCTCATCTTGTTGACTGCTCTCACTTCACCACCGAGCCCAGTGCTGGCAAGTACAAGGAATTTAGTTCAGCAAGAGGATGTGCAGGGTCAGTTGAGCTGCCTAATACAGCAGGAAGGCCACTGAGTACAAGATTAAGCTCACCCCCTGTTCTGATGCTGTGTGGCACCGGGTAAGTTACTTAACTTTTCCGAGTCCCAGCTTTGTCACTTGTAAGATGAAACTGATGATACTGTGTGGATTCAGTAAGAGGATGGGGGCTGTCATGGGCTGCATTCAGCACATGCCACCTTACAGAGATGAGAGAAGGGATCATCACTTTTGATTTTCCCAATGCCTGAGCCACCATCTGCTGCCACCACCAACTCTCCATCCCTGCACCACCACTTTCCAGGACATAATGCAAACACCTCCATCTGTTTTTGAATACCTCAACCCCAGGACCACGGCTTCCCCCATGTTGGTTTGCTCAACAACCTAGCTTGGAGCTGCTTAGGTGTTTTGCCATCACGCCACACTATACGCCCATCCACATGGCCTGGGAACAGCATTAACAGGGTCTTGAACTAGGCAGAGAGCTCCCTGGGTTCAGGGACAGAGCTTTTGTCATTCCTGGCCCCCAACACCCAGCACAGAGAAGGTACCCAGATTCCTTGAACCTTGAACTTAAAGTTGTGCTGTCCCTTTCTGACCACAGTTGCCCCACTGTGTTCTTCTATTCCCAACATTTTGTCTTTCCAACCTGGATAACAGGCCAGGCGCTCCTGCACTGTCTCCTCCAATATGTGCATGGGGCTGTTGAGGAAATTGAGGCAGGGAGTCAGAACATACTCTCTCTTTCCTCACAACCTGTCAATGTCATTCCAACCTCCAAACTCCTGCTCACAGGATGGTTTCCACCTGATGTCCCCTCTTCCACTTCTCTATCTTCACCTACCCAGGCTCAAAGCACAAGATACCAGACCTTGCAAACTGAAGGGTGAGGTGGATGGAGAGCCTGGCACGAGGAGGTTAATTTCCTACAGGTTTAAGTCCCCAAATTGTCCTGCAGCCTAGCCACATGGCTTCTAGAGCCACTGCAGTGTTGTCAACACTCCTTCTGAGGAAAATGGAGTCAATGGAGGCTGAACCCTAAGGGCCTCTAAGGAGGCTAGGATATTTGCCTCTGCTATCTGCTGGCTAAGGCCTAGTGTCTTCCCCAGAGTGAGAGGAGAGGTAAAGGTACATGCACCTTGGGGCTTCTCTGCCAGAAAGGTCTGACTCACTGCTCTGGGATGAACAAGACAATAACATGGCTGACGTCCCCTAACCTTGTGCAGTGCGCAACCTGGATAGCTGTAGACAGCAGTCTTGCTAGTGCCCAATCAGAGTTGGCAATGGAAGTCTTACTCCCCCACATACCCCCTTTGAAAGTGATGATTGGAAACCCTAACACAACAGGGCATGCTTGAACTTGATGCAGCTATGGGGAACACTGAAGGCTTCTGAATGGGGAGAAGTGCAGAGAGCCCATGGGGAGGAGTTATTTCTGGAAATATGACTCTCACAGGTTCTCTCTGTTCTTTAGGTATGGAAAATAATGTGAAAACTATGTTGTACCACCAAATAAGTACTTGTCCAATCAGTGAATGAATGAGTGAGCTGAGGGGCCTTAGAAGTATGGGGTTATGAACGTAGGGCCTGAAGTCAGACAGTGAAGACAACTTGGGTTAGAATCCCTCTTTTGCAGCTTACTAGCTGAGTGGTCTCTCTAGAACCAAAAAGTGACTTGGCCTCTCTGAGACTAAGTTTCCATATTGGTAACAGGGGGTAACACACATTATTGTAGGGATTAAATGATTGAGTTTTGGAAAGTGCTTACTGAGCACTGTGCCTGGTATAGAGGAAGTCCTGAATCAATGTCACCTATTATACAACTGGCCTGGGGATGGAGCTGGCTTCATCACCTTTCCCAGTGAAGGGTGGCCTTGGGCAGAGGGTAAAGATGAAGATGACAAATAAATGGCTCTGAACCATCGGAGAGTACCACGAAGGCGGCAGTCCACTTCCCCTCTCCTTCCAGGGTCCCTGGAACCTGAACACATGTCCAGCCCCTCCTCCTATGCTTCCTGACCACAAATGTGCATGTGCACAAAGATGATTCCCCATTTATTAATTGGGGAGTCAAAAAAATTAACAAGGACAAGAACCCAAAAGTGAAAGTTTAAAGCCATGAAGGAATTGGGCTAGCTCCCCAGGCTCCCAGGGCTGGCCAGCCACTGGCCGGCATTCTCTGCATGTTTCATGCTGATGGGCCTTGGCTCCATGCCAAGGATGAGGCCTGGGTTTGGGCCAGGGCTGGAATGGAAGCAAATTAATGATGTCATTATACTTGTTGAGGGCCTTAAATCTTCTATGACAAGTTTAAGTGCGTGATGCACAATAACATTTTAAAGAGGACATGTGAGGTCTCCAGGGATGGGGTGATGAGGTGATTGGTTGGACAGGGCTGGGGTGGAGCTGTGAGAAATGAATTCAGTGTAGTCTTCCCTGACCCATGAACCACGTCAGGTCTAATGGTCAAATGCTCAGGTCTGCGGACACCACCTACTGAAACTCTGCACCCCTTCCTTGTAGCCCATCCATCCAACAGACACCCAGTGGGAACTTCCATGAGCCGGGCCCTGTGTTGGGCTAGGGGTCCTGAGAGCTTCCTCAGACTGGATCTGCTGCTCTCGATGAGGCTCACAGTTTGATGGGGGAGTCACATATGCACACAAGAACATCGATGAATATGTGCTTTGAGAGGACAACGAGGAATGTGTGAGCCCAGAGGAGACACCTAATAGGGTAACCACGTGTCTTGGTTTGACCAGAACAGTCCAGGTCGATGATTATTTTGATCTTGAATTGTATCCGACTCTCAAAATTATCTGGGTTTGGACAATAAATGCATGCAGCAACTCTACACCTAAGGCAGTCTTGAGGCTCAGGCCAGGCTTCCAAGGGGAAGGCCTTTGGATCATCCTGCTGTTGCTAGGCATTAACAGTGCCAGTGGCCTGGGGGCTGCAGAGGCCAGGGATGCAGCCATTGCTGCAGGTGGGGACAGTGCAGCCAGGATGCAGGCCAAGGGTGAGGTGCCCCTGTCCCCTGTCCCAGTGTTATCCACCCAGGCCTGTACCTGTCCTGCCCTGGCCTCCAGATGTTGCTTCCTCATCCTCCATGTTATAACCAGAGGCATCTTTCTGACCACATTGCTCTCTTGCTTGCACTCTCCACCCTTAAGCATCCCCTCTTTACCCCCATCTAGCGGACTCTACTGCCAAGCCTGGTTCTCATATCACCTTCTCCCTGAAGCCTTCAGGCAAAGGGATTGTGGCCCCACAGCCTCCATATCCTCAGTGCCCTGCAGATTTCGAGGTCCCCAGCTACAGACACAGCCTCACCTCCACCAGATCCCCTTGGGGACCGGATTCAGCCTTGCTGCCCTGACACCAGGCTTTTCTGCACCGTGGGGTGGGGTTGCCTAGTCTCTCCTCAAGCTACTAGATTCTATCTGTGCATCCCTGGGGGCAGCCTGGGCTGCTCTTCGAATCCAGGTGGCCCAATCCATCCACGCTCTGTCCCACTTCAAGTACGGGAACTGTTGGGAGACTTCTGAGGCAGTTCCACTTGCCAAAGACAAATCAGTGGTCTGGACCCAAGCTCAAAGAAAATCTAAGCTTGCCTTCTCCCGAGGTCACCTCATGCCTCCGTTTCTCAGCTTAGGGTCAGCCACAGTCTGGCCAGCACCCTGTCCTGCACACTCCCGCCCTCCTGGCCACATCATGGCCAGACCATCCCGTCATGACCAGGGCCTCCTTTGCCATAGAGCTCCCTGGCTGCTCAGGACTCATGGGGGTCTCCCTCAGCAGATGAAGCAGGGTGGCCCTGGCCATGAAGGCGGTCACTCGTAGTGAGATTCCTAAGAGCCTCGTGGTGTCAGGGCTCTTCTCTCCACCCTCACTTCTCTGCCACTGAGTCAGAGCTCTCGGACCTGAGTGTCCTGTGGTGAAGTCTCCAGTTCCTTCCTCTTTCATTTTCTATGCTGCAGCAAGGGACGCCACATGCCTACATTGGCTCGGATGACAGTCACTCACTGACATGTGCTCTGTGCCAGGCCTAAGCTGGGCAATGGGGACCGAGATAGGCAGCATACCATCACCCTCAGGAGTTCCTGGTCTTGTGGGGGCAAGTACTGATGGAACACCACGGCCCGGCCTGGCTCTGTCTGCAGGCTACACTCTCAGCACCCCTCTCCTATTCTCCTCTCGCCTCTGGCTCACTGGTGCATGGTTTCCTCTGCTGGAACATTATTCCCCCCCTTGTCTGTGGCCAGCTCAGGTTCTTACATGCCCTCTCATCTTGCAAATATCTTTCCTTCTCTCCCCAGTCCCAGGCCCTACCCACAAGCCCATCTAAATCAGCCGTTCCTTCCACAGGCTCCAAATGCTTCCTCTACTCCATACTCACAGCAAGGATTACACTTTGGTGCAATTCATTCTTCAATCTCCCCATCTTCCCTATGTGACTGTAAGCCCTTTTTCATAGCACTATGTCTAGCATTTATAAACTATTTCATTCATTCATTCATTCATTCATTCATTTGGCAAAGGTTTACTGAGTCCGGCTCTGGGCCAGGGGCTACTCCAGCCAGTTGAGATAAATCCATGAATAAAACAGACCAAACTCCCTGCCCTCATGGAGCTTATGTTCTAGTAAGGAGAGCAACCAATAAATAGTCACTAATCAATGAATCAAGTAGATAGTGTGTTAGAGGATGGCAAAGGCCATGGGGAAAAAAAGTGGAGCATAATAAAGACGGTGAGAGTGTGGGCATGCAGGCCAGGTTGCAATGCTGAGTGGGGTGGTTGGGGCCAGCTTCATTGAGATGATGAGATTTTAGTTAAGTGCTGCAGGCAGAGAGGGAGGGAGCCATGGTCATACCCAGGAGAGGCATTCGGCAGAGGGAGCAGCCAGTGCAAAGGCAGAAGCTGGTGAGGTGGGTTCACAGACCAGCAAGAAAGCCCATGCAGCCTAAGTGGTGTGCAGGGGGGAGAGCAGAAAGTGACAGGGTAGGGAGAGAGCATGGGGGCCATGTAGGCCATCGCAGAGACTCTGGCTTTCACCTTGATAAAAATGGGAAGTCCATGCAATGTCCTGAGCAGGGAAGTGGTGTGTTCTGCCTAATTCAACAGCTTCTTGAATGAGCAGGTATTCAAGCACCATGACAGAGGAGGCACAAGGGCCTAGAGGTGCCTGGGAGAATGCCTGACCCTATCTAGGGGCTCAGGAAGGTTTCTCAGGAGGTGACGTATGACTATGAAAGTGGGAGGAACCCTGGAGAAGAAAGGAGCCTGAACAAAGGCCTAGAAGCTTGAAAAGACAAGCTTCTAGGAAGAGTTGCAAGTTCCACAGTCAGCAGAGCAAGGTCTTTAGGATGGCGGACCTGGGCTGTGACAAGGCCAGCAGAGGGCACGTTGTAAGGTCCTTGAATGCTGGAGGAAGCATCTTGGAATTCACCCTGAGAGCAATGAATGGGCAGGCATGGTGTGGTCTGAGCAGGGGTGAGCCACGCTCAGCCCCTTGAGCTCTACTTGCTGCCCGACCAGCTGGCGACAATCTTTCCTCTAAGACTCAAATCAAAGCAGAATGCTCTGGGCTGGACTCAAGTCCAAGCTCTGAGTAACTGTGGGCTTTTCCTTCCCTGGAACTTAATTTTCCCAGATGTAGAACTGAACTTCTCAGAGGCCTCCCTGGTCTTACAAGCTAAATTTCCAGGGTCCTAGGCCCCAGACTCACATAGATCTGGCTCAAGTTGCTGTTCTTGGTAACTTAAAACTCCCAAAACTCATAAGCTGTGTGGCCTTGGACAAATCTCTTCTCATCTCTGAGCCTCAATTTCCCTATTTATAAAAGGGGGATAACGATAGCTCCTTTCTGCCATGGCTGGAGAGAAGATTACCTATGCCTGGCAGGTAGTAGGGATCTAATAAATGCCAGGTATCCAGGTCTTTGGAGAGGAGCCTCACCTGGGATGTGTCGTGGTTGAAGATGACTGCGCTGAGGTCTCCGCAGTTGTAGTGCTTGATGAGGTCCTCCGTGGTGTAGGAGGCCTGCAGGCTCCCGGCCCGCACACTCTCCTGCTGCAGCAGGGTTTGGTTCAGGGCAAACAGCACCTGGGCCGAGGAAAGAGAGAGGAATGAGGGCTGTGCTCAGGGACCCTGGCTGAGCTCTAGGACTGGCCTCCTCCCTCTGGACTTCAGAGCAACAGGCCTGAAACAGAGAAGGTGTGTGGGGCCGGCACCAGCTGGCTCAGGCTGCGTGTTTCCAGTTTCTGTTCCTGCCTCACGTCTCTGAGCACGTTCAGCCTGCTCTCACCTCCAGCCCTTTGCCCACACGGGTCCCCACTCCTGCTCTGGTCTCAATATCTTATTAAAGACGCGGCAAAATGAGAACTCAACTTGTGTCTGGGTTTTGGAATGACGGGTGAGATTTTCTTTTGACTCCTTTGTGTTCCTGTGCTTAAAAGTGCTCTAGAATGAGCATGAACTAATTTTGTAGTCAAGAGCATCCTGCAAACAAAGCAAAAGGACAAAAACAAAATGCCTGGTTGGATGTCAAGGCCCAACCTAAAGGCTGCCTGCCCTGGAAGCCTTCCTCACCTAGGGAAAGGCCTGAGGAGTTGGGTGCCTGAGCATCTGATCTATCCTTGTATTCAGCATGCAGGTCCTCAATCTCCTCTGTCCTCCGGGCCACCATGCTTGTGCCCAGCCAAACCGGTGGGTGTCAGGAACACTTGGAGTGCTAGACAAAATGTCAGATGCCCAGACCTCGCCTTCTGGGATCAGAGGCTCTGTATTTTTAACAGGATCCCTGCACACTTCCTAAGCAGTCTGAGGATCATGGCTCTAATGGAACTCGACCTGCTCATTTTAGATGGAGACGACTGAGGGAGGGGGGAGAGGGGAGGGAGGGAGAAGAGGGAAGAGAGGAGAGGGAACGGCGCTGCGGAAGTTCACACAGCCTAGGCCTGGAGCTAGTTGGTTTAGGCTGGACAAGTATCCAGGGACTCCTTGGCCAACGAGGAAGGGAGGAGACTGGGCGGAGGTATTGTGGCTATTTAAGTACAGATAAGAGAGAAAAGTCGTGGCCTGCCCTGTGGTGTGGGCGGTGGTATGCAGGAAAGTCGGGGAGGAGGGAGACTGGGCCTGGCGAGTGGAGCCCAGGCCTGAGCCCGGGGCGGTTTGAGCGCGCGCGGCCTTGCGTGCTGGGCGACAAGCGGGGGATGTCAAGTTCCCAGCCTCGCCACTCACCTCAATTCAGGCCCAAGCATCTCTCGTTGAGTCCCCTGCAACAGTCCTACCCATCTCCTGGCACACTCCCTCCCTTCTCTTCTATACCACAGTTGTCTGTCATGGTCATCTTTTAAACGCACAAATCTGATGATCTCTCTCTCTCTCTTTTGCTCAAAATGTTCACAGGTCCCTCCTGCCCGCAGGCTAACGGGCTAGCTCTTCAGTAGAGCCTCCAAGGCAGTAACCTGGACCTGCTGTGGTCAATAGCCTCATTTCTTAAGTGGCCTTCATGCCTCCAAATACTAAAATACTCAGCATTCCTTCAAGAAAACAACAACAACAACAACAACAACAACAACAACAACAAACCTCTGCCTTTGTGCCTCTGTATATGCTGTTCCATAGGGAAATCCGGCTCCCTCCAGTCTCCACTTGCTAACTCAGACTTAGCTGTCCAGACTCTGCTCAGCTGTCTCCTCCAGGAAACTTCTCTGACCACCTGGGGGCTGGGTTAGGCCCCTCCCTGGGGCTCCCACAGTCTCCATGGGTGGTAAACTGATAGATTAATGGCCCTAAACCTTAGCCCCTCCCTGTATTCGTGCCCTTTCCATGGAACTTTGTAGCTCCTTTCCATTCTGACCCTGGACATCCTTCAGCCAATGGGATGCTAGTAACCATTGCAAATGCAGGCCTGAAAAGCAGTTATGTGGTGGTGGTGGTGCTGCTGCTGCTGCTGCTGCCTGCACCTCTGCCACTGTCCTGAGAACAATCCAGGCTAGCCTGCTGGATGATGAGCGACATGTGGGGTGGGGCTGTCCAGCCAAGGCCATCCTCCACCAAGATCAGCCAACAGCCTGCCAATCCCCAGGCATGCGAACCAGCCCAGCCAAGATCAGCACAGACTATTCACAATTGGCCCCAGATGCATGAGTGGAAAACTCTTATTGTTATTGTTACACAGCATAGTTGTGGTGATAGATAACTAATACACCATGCTTCCTTCCACCATGGAGTGAACATTATATTGTATTTGCTGCTTAGCTACCAGCCTCCCATATTAGGCTATGAGCTTCTTCAAGACGGGAATTGTGTCCTGTTCATTTTTGAATCTGCAGCACTCAGCACTGTGCCTGGTGAAGACAGAGTGTCACTTCATTGTTCTTAATTTCTTTGACACCTGCTATGGTCACTTCATAGTTCAAGGCTGCTCACTGAGTCCTTAAATCTAGCCCCTACAGCTTCTGCACTCTGCATTTTGAGGCATGCCACCACTTTGTGACAGAAGGTCCCAGCAAGTGGCAGCAGTCACTTGGTTCAAGAACATATATTCTGACCAGAAAAGCTCATAAAATAGGTGTGCACAGCCAGGCCAAAGTATAACAGAGGCAACAGCGCCAAGCGTGTGTTTGTGAGATCACCTCCCTCCCCTCTCATTTTTGTTCATGGCTGGGCAGGAGTGCTAGATTGCACTGGATGCAGCCCAGGCTACTCCCCGTAATGAGCTAGCTGGAGATGAGGTCAGCCCCCACCACCCCCTTCCCAAAACTCTACCTCTGGGCCTTCTCCAGGCCTCTAGGCTCTGGCCGCCACCACTGAAATCTGATATGTAGCCATCTGGTGCAGGGTGTCGATGGCAGCATGGTGGCTGGGGATGGATCACAGGAGGCAGTGGCCCTGTTGCTGTGGGCATTGCTAAGGCAACAAGCACTTCCCCTCACACGGCACATGCCTCAGATGAAAGTGTCCATGTCGAGTTGATCCGCTCTCCTCCTCTGGGGGCCTGGGATACGGGCTTCCCGTGACTGCACTTGGCCACTGCACACACCTGCCCCCTTGCTTCTAGGTGTCGGCTTGGCCAAGGCACCACCTGACCTGTGGTGAGGTCATCGGCCCAGGCACCCAGAAGACCTGACTGGAGGAGAAATGTCTCCCCAGGACCTTGCTTGACTCACAGTTGCTTCTGCAATCATGCAGCCATCACAGAGCTAGAAGGTGTTCCAGTGAATTTAGTATGTTATTATCTGTGGGGTGCTAAAAACAGTCCTGGCATGTAGTAAGTACTGGATAAGTGTTTGTTAAATAAAACGGAGAGGAAAATAGACCCAAAGCTTCCCAGATTGGAGCTGGAAGAGCCCTGGAGGTCATTTGGTCCAGAGGCTTTTCAGGCCTTTTAAAGCCATGTTCTTGCTGTTGTTTTCCAAAGGAACCTTACTTAGAACTCAAAATATGGAGAAGGTAAAAATAGAAACTTCCCTGGTTGATGTAAGGGAGGCAGGCGGGTGCCTGAAGTCTCACTAACTCAATGTTCTCATGCAGTAGGGACTCCCAAGGCCTTTCTGTGGAATCCACAGGTACCCTGGAGCCTAGTTTGAGAACCACTGATCTCATCCTGTGGCCTCATCATATTAAAGAGGAGAGGAGGCTGAGGTCCAGAGCAGGCAGAATGGGGCTTGCCTAAGGCCACACAATGAGAGGGGGCAGAGTGGACTCAACCCCAACTCTTAACTCCTGGTCCAGAACTCTGCAGGGCCCTGGACCACATGGCTGGATTTCCAGATGTCCACAGGCACAGCCCACATTGATCCACACACACTGCCACACCCATTTTTTTTTTTTTTTCTAGAGCCTTGTGAAATAGCCAGGGAATATGTACTGTTAGTCTGTTACTAATAAGTCTGTTATTAATAGTCTATTACAAAGATATAAAACAGAGGCCGGACCGTTTATGAGGTCTTCCCATGTGTCCCAGTAGGAGTGTGGTGGGGCCAGGACTGAAATCCAAGCCTATCATCCTGATTCTCCCTACCTGGGTGGGGTTTGGTGTCTTCCAAAGACCCCTGTCCTCCTTTTGCTCTAGGCACTTACCCCACTGAATTGTCCCTGTTCACTGCCTCTCTGTTTCCTGCTGGACCCCAATGTCTCCATTAGCAGACATTCAGGAAGCACTGCAAGAAGAGGGATGCTGATCCAGAATCATGTGCACTTTCCCTTATACCTCCTGCCTCGTACCATCCTTCCGCAACTTATACAGAAGTCTTCATCCATTCATTACTAGGATTACTATGTTTATTGAGCACTTACTATGTGTCAGGAACTTTCTGAACTCACGTTCATTTATTTAATCTTTACAGCAACTCTGAGGTAAGTCTATTATTAGCTCCATTTAATTAAAAAAAAAAAAAAAACTGCAGCAAAGAGACATCAAGTACCTTGCCAAAGGTGACAAAGCTAGAGAGGGATGGACCAGGCATTTGGGCCAGGCCTGGAATGTATCCTCCTAGTTAATCACTACCCTGTAGGCCCTCCCTCTGTTCTCTCTGGAAGAGAGCCAGGAGGGATGTTGTCCCTAGTCACAGATGGGAAACCAAAGAAGCAGAAGGGAGTGATGGGCACAAGGCCACACAGCTGGTAAAGGACAGGGCTGGGGTTTGAAATTACGTCTGGCACCAGACCAGGTTCTCACAACCAGGACTTCAGCGCGGTATGTGCTCCTTCACGAGCATCCTTGGTGCTTCCAACAGACAGAGGGACGCTACATCCATTCATTCACAAACATTTACTTTCAGCTCTTCTCTGCAGGGATTTGAGATTAGTAGATTAATTGGACTTGGCTTCCGTCGGTGCAGAGCTCATTTTAGAGGCAGATGTGCCAACTGGCCGGCACAGCAAGGGTGGTAAGTACACAGGCTTCATAATGAAGCGCCTGGCCCTGACTCCTGCCTCCCTTTCACTCACCCTGAATTCCCAAGCCTGGTGTTGCTCAGACTCGGGATGTCTTCTGCTCCTGGCCACCTTAGAATAACAAACCTTTGCATGTAGCCACGGTGGCCCAGTCTAGGATAATGTTTATGATAAGGCTTTGACATGGAATAACAAACACT